GACGTAACACCACTACAAGACATTCTGTTAGGTTATGGATACTGTAAACCATCACAAATGTAGATTTTGGGATTTCGGCATAGCTATTGAGATGCCTGTTAGTGACTGGAAAATGTCTAAATAGCCATTCCTACCTATATTTCCTCAAAAAAAACTGAATTAAAAAGGGATCCCTTTGTAGTCTTTTAGAAAATCAAATCTAATAGAATGTAGTCAGGTAATGCTCCGTCGTAGTGAGTTTGTTGTACCCAAGAGTGGGAATGACAGATTAATTTAATTTGATATTGACATTGGGGAAAAACTACAAAGACAGCCGGACAAAAATTGTCAGTTTCAGTCTCTATTTCAATGGCAGTGAAACAAACGTCTGTTAGAAAGGTAGACCTTTGAACCTGCCAGGTTAAAAAGGTCAACAAAACGTGTCATCGACGTGGACGTGTTCTATCGATTGTGTTTCCTTTGATAGTTACAGTGAAATGGGTTGATGAAGACTATGGGATAGGTTTTATCTAGTCTCATAATGACCTCATCAGAAAATGTTTGAAATAGTACTTCTTTGTGCAATTAAGTACCATTCCGCCGTTGCTCTCATTTGGGGAGCGTGACATTATTTACTTGGACTGATCAATATTTACATGACGGTTTTCGTCGATGAAACATAAGGATCTCACCCTTAGAGAACACCTGGTCTTCATCTCTCTGTACTTTTTAGGATTCTGGATTCTCTATGGTTTTTTATTTTTTGTTCGTTTTTTTGTTTTTTTTTTTTTTTTTTATCGTATTTTGCAATAGTTTCGTCATTTTTAAGTTCGATGTAAGACTTTGTTAATATTTCCATCACTTCTCTTGAATACGCAGATATCTGTGAGTTACCTCACAAGTTTAGATTATATAGCGTTCAGATGCTCTCCTTATTCTCTCATTCTCCCCATCTAGATTTTTATTCTTTCATTCTCCCCATCTAGATTTTTATTCTTTCATTCTCCCCATCTAGAATTTTATTCTTTCATTCTCCCCATCTAGATTTTTATTCTCTTATTCTCCCCATCTAGATTTTTATTCTCTCATTCTCCCCATCTAGATTTTTATTCTCTCATTCTCCTCATCTAGAATTTTTCTCCCCATCTAGATTTTTTTCTCTCATTCTCCCCATCTAGAATTTTATTCTCTCATTCTCCCCATCTAGAATTTTTATTCTTTCATTCTCCCCATCTAGAATTTCTCTCTCATTCTCCCCATCTAGATTTTTATTCTTTCCCCATCTAGAATTTTATTCTCTCATTCTCCCCATCTAGATTTTTATTCTCTCATTCTCCCCATCTAGATTTTTATTCTCTCATTCTCCCCATCTAGAATTTTATTCTCTCATTCTCCCCATCTAGATTTTTATTCTCTCATTCTCCCCATCTAGAATTTTATTCTCTCTAGATTTTTATTCTCTTCTCCCCATCTAGAATTTTATTCTCTCATTTTTATTCTCTCATTCTCTAGATTGTTATTCTCTCATTTTCCCCATCTAGAATTTTATTCTCTCATTCTCCCCATCTAGAATTTTATTCTCTTATTCTCCCCATCTAGATTTTTATTCTCTCATTCTCCCCAGAATTTTATTCTCTCATTCTCCCCATCTAGAATTTCTTTCTCTCATTCTCCCCATCTAGAATTTCATTCTCTCATTCTCCCCATCTAGATTTTTATTTTTATTCTCTCATTCTCCCCATCTAGATTTTTATTCTCTCATTCTCCCCATCTAGAATTTTATTCTCTCATTCTCCCCATCTAGAATTTCTTTCTCTCTTTCTCCCCATCTAGAATTTCATTCTCTCATTCTCCCCATCTAGATTTTTATTCTTTCATTCTCCCCATCTAGAATTTCATTCTCTCATTCTCCCCATCTAGATTTTTATTCTCTCATTTTCCCCATCTAGAATTTTATTCTCTCATTCTCCCCATCTAGATTTTTATTCTCTCATTCTCCCCATCTAGATTTTTATTCTCTCATTCTCTCCATCTACATTTTTATTCTCTCATTCTCTCCATCTAGATTTTCACATTTTCCCCGATCACTTTGGATTTTACCTCAGTCGTCTCCGAGGCTTTAAAATTTAGGCCCTTTGCATCACTGACGAGCCCTAGAAGGACGAAACAGCTGTGTGATGTAGCATCACTGACCAGTTCTGGAAGAACGAAACAGCTGTATGATGTATCATCACTGACTAGTTCTAGAAGGACGAAACAGCTGTGTGATGTAGCATCACTGACCAGTTCTGGAAGAACGAAACAGCTGTATGATGTATCATCACTGACGAGCCCTAGAAGGACGAAACAGCTGTGTGATGTAGCATCACTGACCAGTTCTGGAAGAACGAAACAGCTGTATGATGTATCATCACTGACTAGTTCTAGAAGGACGAAACAGCTGTATGATGTATCATCACTGACTAGTTCTAGAAGGACGAAACAGCTGTGTGATGTAGCATCACTGACCAGTTCTGGAAGGACGAAACAGCCGTATGATGTATCATCACTGACTAGTTCTAGAAGGACGAAACAGCTGTATGATGTATCATCACTGACTAGTTCTAGAAGGACGAAACAGCTGTGTGATGTAGCATCACTGACCAGTTCTGGAAGGACGAAACAGCCGTATGATGGAGTTGTAAGCGTTGTTTGGCTGTAATGTATCTAACTACAATTTTGCATGGAAAGGTGCTATTCACTTGCCTTTTGCACAATTTCCTATGTACATGTCTATAATGTGTTTCCTCTTGTTCTAGCAGATACGTTTTGTCGTCATAATTTCCTTGTGCATTGTTTCTTAATTTCCAATTAGTACTTCTGTTTGTTTCGTTGATTCTACCCCGTTCTCATATTAAAATCGTGACATTGACATAAGAATTCATATAAGAGTACCCATAAAAACAGGGGAAACAAAACCCCGCGAAAAATAATAATATATCAGTACAACCAACAACAAGCTTATAACTTTTTCTTTCTTGTCAAATCCAACAAATCCTCCACTTTGAAATGTCCACCATTCTGTCCGGTATACTGGTATGTATGTATCATATACAGCTTTGTGCCGCATAACACCACGAGTTCTGGCTCTTTGGTATTCTTGCTTTTTTCATGGGTGTGTTCCCATCATCACGATTTTCATACAGGAAGTCGTCAGCTGACTGACAAACCCGTAGCACAGGGTTTCAAAAGATGCAGGTTGATGACATTATGGGGAAGTTTTACAATCCTCGTGGTGATCTCACTGAGAAATGTTATATTACGTTTCTTTCTGCGACAAAAAGTGGCGTGTTTGATGCTCGTTAGTTTGCCTGTTAGTTTCATTGGTTATAACTTGTTTTCATTTGAGAACGTGACATTTCCTACTTTGGTTGACCAAGGAGAAGACTCTTCCGAAACACCTGGTCTTATTCTGTATACTTTTTCATGAGGCAACATGTACATTTTCTTTTGTTCATATTTTGCCTATTCTCATTCTAGGCCACGAGTTCCCTGATATAAGAGAAATAACTCGTAAAGTTCTACACTCAACCTAATTACAATTAACTTTGTGGTTGTTTTCGGTTTTTTATTGCTTTCGTTTTGTTTTTGTTGGTTTCTTTATCTATACATCAATGTATCTATAAGTTGTATATATTGGGTTGTTGAATAATTTGAATTAAAAAAATCTTCAGACCAACAGGACAACTTTGAGGGCTATCAAATTTTGATATCTAAATATGTAAGAGCAAAAAAAAAACGGTTGTGAAACATTCTCATTTATTATAACATATTCATAATGAACGAGCTTATTTTATATACCAGCAGGAGATTTAAACAACGCTAATGAATACTCCTTTACATCAGCTACTTTCAGAGACGTCTCTCACCATTTCTTCTATCGGAATGGTTTACGTGTTATAAAAGATTTTGCTTCGCGAACAGACAAATTGGCATTCTTTCACGAAACAATCAATGTGTGAAAATTTCGAAAGTTGGAAGACGAATTTCCGTTTTCACGGGCCAAAAAGGCAGCTTCAAGAAGATTATGTACCAGAAGTTTTTTTTTTAATGGCATAACTAAGCAAAAAAAAAACTCTACAATTAAGTTGAATCGAGTAAATGACATGTGGTTTTAACATTTATATGATGTCTCCTGAAATCTGGCATTTATTTTACGCCAGGACATGTATCTATGCATTCATATCATTTCAGGCCGTATATCTCAAATGTTTTTTCCTGAAATCTGCCTAAAACAAATCGGTTCGCTCTAGGTCGATAGAGTTACCAACCTTGATTACATACTGGAACAGTGGAGGCTAGTGCCGGTGGATTCGGCGAGTCTTTTATTTTTTGGCCAACAAAATAATGTTACTGTGAAATATTAAATTGGTTATGAAGATTAAGTATAAATTTTTCGTTTGTTCATTCTTGTGGCTTTGTTATTATGCTTAAGTTTTCAATAAACAACATGATTGTTATTGGTTAAATATTGAGAATAGCACATAACCACAGTACACCACAGGTTACCCTAGAGGTCCACACATAACCACAGTGTACCACAGGTAACCCGTGAGGTCCATCCCTATCAACAGTACACCACAGGTTACCCTAGAGGTCCATCCCTATCCACAGTGTACCACAGGTTACCCTAGAGGTCCATCCCTATCCACAGTACACCACAGGTTACCCTAGAGGGCCACAAATAACCACAAAAGTGTCAAACTTCTAGATGGACGAGACTTGGTAGATTGAGTTATTGCCCTTTTGTTATACAACATCTAGAGGCCTATGTTAGAAAACAATTATCGTACGTTATTCGACATCACGTACATGTGTATTATTTTTTTTAATTTGTAAAGTTAAATACATACCATCATCACAAAATATAGATGCATAAAGTTGTATATTATGTTTTCATGTATACCTTAAGCGACAATCTGTTTGCAATTTTTTCAGCATTATAAGCGATGTTTACTAGTGTCTCGTGATTATTGTCTCGTGATTGTAAAACTGATATGCGGAACCTTAATAGAAAACCGGATCAGTCGAAGATGGGCGTTGTTTTAATAGTCGTGTTAACAATCCTAATGACAGTCCATGCGAAGGTCTTCGAATATGAGATGAAACCAAACGTTAGAGTTGATTTCAATGGAAAACCAGCATGTCTGGACCCTAAATTCAGAGAAGGGATTATGCCAGTAAGGTAAAAGTTTAAACTTGGTATTATGTATTACTAACAGCCGATCAAACAGGATGTAGAAATGTTGTAAATTCTACACAAGTCACTTGAGACAATGCTGACTATTTGATCAATCAAAAGACTTCTTAGATAGAACTGTAATGTATACAAGTATATACGCACCTGAATGAAAGTACACACTCGGTTTAATTGTGGATAATGTCTTTGGTTATAAATTAATATGATCATGTTTTTTTTATCAATGGGGCGGAAAGATTTACTCGAAAACGCCCCAAATAACCCACAAACTCGCTGAATTACTCCATAAAACCAAAACTACTCTACGATATACACCCAGACAACTCATAGAAGACGAAAAATCAGTTTTATAAACATTTTAATAGCTCCCGATATTGTTCGGAAGGGCGATAACCCCTACACAATTACATTTATTCATGTGACCAGCAAAAAAAAAAAAACCAACAGCGTTTCTGCTTCAGTCTTTCAGTTCGATTCTTCTTTATTTTAGGTACAGACGAAAGGCATTTCCCTGCAATATACGAAAAACATAACATTCAATAGTAACACAGATAACAATGCGCATTTAACAAACTAAAGTGTAACTTTAGTGTCATTTTTTTGTTAGTAAGTAGAACCTGTGTCTGAATGATCATTTTATCGAAAATTGCCTGGAAATCGGTCATGCAGTTACGATGTTATGGTGGGTTAAAATAGAGCTTTTTACCTGTACGCCGAAATCTTAATCAAGCCTGCCACGCATTGAGAAAAGTTGTGCTCATCTATTGATGACGTAACAAATGGAACACGCAAATTATACAAGAAAATGGCAAATATTAAAGATAGCTCCTCTCTCCGTTCCGTTAGCAATGATGATTCTGTAGATTTACTGATGTTCGATGGATCTTCTGAGTTTGAGATGGATGAAACAGCATATAGTGGTGCAACACAACCATGTATGTTTGAGCTAGAGACAGATTCCAGCTCTGATAAGAGGAATTTGGAAGCCGAAGATTGAGAATGATTAACATTTTGACCAGCATCATACAATTGACAACATAATAATCATTTCACTCATACAATCACATTAATGGTTCACATCTCACATATGATTACATACACATTTGTTGTAAGTTACACCAAGAAACAGTGTGTATAAACATGACCTATGTCAACAGTTATCAGAACAGTTTTAACAAAACTCGCCCTGGGTAAGGTAGACAAGACTTAATCACATAATCCTTCATCGCTTCACAATAAATCTCGCTGAGATGAACACCTGAGATGGACAAACCAATCTTTTTCAACAGAAACTTACAATATATGAAAAATTCAAGAAGAAAATCAGTAACTTCCTTGATTCGAACCTCGGCTATGAGAATTAAAAATCATCTCAAATTACAGCACCACAACCTTATCCATTACACTATCGCAGACGTTATCAAATAGTAATGAAGGGAATACACTGATTGACACTTACAATAAAATTACATATATGTAGATACAGGTAAAATATTAATCAGTAGCAGCAATTACAAATACACTAAGTTGTATTAACACGTACTAATAGTCCCTACTTTTCAGTTATATTTATACACAATAAATCATAAACAGATATATTACTGTGAAATCAAATTGCTAACTCAGACGTATGGAAATAGGTACTAACTGTCTGCTGTATTGCTAACTCAGACGTATGGAAATAGGTACTAACTGTCTGCTGTATTGCTAACTCAGACGTATGGAAATAGGTACTAACTGCCTGCTGTATTGCTAACTCAGACGTATGGAAATAGGTACTAACTGTCTGCTGTATTGCTAACTCAGACGTATGGAAATAGGTACTAACTGTCTGCTGTATTGCTAACTCAGACGTATGGAAATAGGTACTAACTGTCTGCTGTATTGCTAACTCAGACGTATGGAAATAGGTACTAACTGTCTGCTGTATTGCTAACTCAGACGTATGGAAATAGGTACTAACTGTCTGCTGTATTGCTAACTCAGACGTATGGAAATAGGTACTAACTGTCTGCTGTATTGCTAACTGTCTGCTCAGACGTATGGAAATAGGTACTAACTGTCTGCTGTATTGCTAACTCAGACGTATGGAAATAGGTACTAACTGTCTGCTGTATTGCTAACTCAGACGTATGGAAATAGGTACTAACTGTCTGCTGTATTGCTAACTCAGACGTTTGGAAATAGGTACTAACTGTCTGCTGTATTGCTAACTCAGACGTATGGAAATAGGTACTAACTGTCTGCTGTCTGATCGCAAACTGCCAGAATGATCACAAGGAAATTGATTTGAACTGATTGCTGAAATTTGATTGGTTGAGGCAGTTTGTTTTATTCTGTAAATAAACTTTAAATCTTTTATCCAAATTAGGTACTCATTGGTAATATATGCTGAGACTATCAGTAGAACATAATACGATTATAACAATTACTAATAATTAATATCATTGATATACATGTGGTGTTAACCTACATTGTACATTTGGATCATGTGGAGAGCAAAACGGAAGTCTTACCAGATGACAATCAAATACCTGGTAACACAAATAGAAGTAAGGGTACGAGTTGATATCAGGGCAGTCCACACTAACCACAAACTTTCTGCATATTGCTGATATTCCTATATATTTGCTAACCCAGTTTTGGTAGGATCACATTCCGTAGAGTGAAAATAAAGTAATTATGTATAAATTTAACAAAAATAAACACTGTTAAAAGTATTCATTATGTGAGAATAAGTGTAGAAAAGACCATCAAAAGAATAATTTTTCATGTGTGTTTCTGTGATTAAGTGCAGACAAGACCAGTGCTAAAATCAAATTTGCAAATTAACCAAACTTTGTCCTTTTATATGAGTTATCAATTAGTGGCATCTGTAAATTTTGTGCAAGCACATGACAAAGACTTTCAGCAAACTACTATCATTAAAGGTAGAATTTTACTTTCAGGACATATTTCAGACGCTATGAGTACACTGACATTGGCCCCCTGCCAAAGGCGTTGGACTGGCGTAATGTAAACGGGACCAACTTCTGTAGTACAACTCGGAATCAACACATCCCTCAATGTAAGAAATTACCATATCACAAAGAATATCTGTTTTACAACTCGTAACCAATGCATCCCTCAATGTAAGAAATTACCATATCACAAAGAATATCTGTTTTACAACTCGTAACCAATGCATCCCTCAATGTAAGAAATTACCATATCACAAAGAATATCTGTTTTACAACTCGTAACCAATGCATCCCTCAATGTAAGAAATTACCATATCACAAAGAATATCTGTTTTACAACTCGTAACCAATGCATCCCTCAATGAAAGTAAACATATGTAGTACAACTTGTTATCATTTAACACATCCATTAGTGTATTGGAACATCATATCAAGATTTTCAGAAAGAAAATTAATTTTTCTAAAGTTATTAACTTACATACATGTGTCCTTCCAATAATCTAGAGCATTTGGTTAATGTTCATGTTATGATGTTTTCTGTTAAACTAAAAATGGTAGAAGTTTTAATTTTTATTTACTTCTCCTGAAATATTTACATTGACTGCAATGACTAATTGAATGTGGTACCTGACAGTTGAGCAAGTCTAATTTCTAATTGTATTTTTACATAAAATATATTTTTGTTTACAGATTGTGGTTCCTGTTGGGCCATGGGGTCTACAAGTGCCCTTGCAGATCGTATCAACATAAAGCGAAAGGGAGCCTGGCCATCAGCTTACCTCTCTGTACAGCAAGTTATTGACTGTGCTTCTGCTGGCTCTTGTGAAGGAGGTGATGACCTGCCTGTGTATGACTATGCCAACAAACATGGCATCCCAGATGAAACATGCAACAACTACCAGGCCAAGAATCAAGGTAGTATTTCATTGCTTACTTAGCAAAAATCTATTTTCATGTTATCACTTGTCTAATACTTCATTCACACCACCTGGCCGTATTAATAGTACCTGTTATATAGATTTGCAAGGCATGATTTGTATCTTGTAATAACACTGGAACACATCAGGCAGAAAAAAGTGGAAAGTTAACACAACACACTTGGTTAGACTATTTTCAGGTTATAGACGGGACTAAATATTTTCCTTATATCCAAAATTTACTAATTATGCAGGCAATGATAATATTGTGCTAGATTTTATGACAAATGGTGCTCGGATGGGGCAGTGGTAATGCACTGGCCTTTCACCTAGCCATCCGGGGTTCAGCTCCAAGAACGAAAAGGGATGGTGTCACCTGCCCGACCACGTGGGTTTCCCAGGGTACTCCAGTTTCCTCCTACAATAAGACCCCTTGTGCTCTTACATCAGGACAACAAGAGTGATTAGTAAGTTGAAATAACTTACTTCACAATTGTTGTTGAATATATAAAGTTTATATATGACAATGAGAAATATTTTGGTATGCATGTGGATGTACAAATGTAGGCTCTTTCTCTAGACTAAGCTAATTCATCCAAAACAAAGCACACAGTACCTACAAGCACTGATGGAACTAGATTAGTGTTGGGATTATTCTATTAACTTCTATATTCTTTACTATTTGTTTATTTAGAATGTAATGGCTTTAATTCCTGTGGAACATGCACAACATTTGGCAAGTGTAGCCAGCTTACAAATTACACCTTATGGAAAGTGGGAGACTTTGGAAATGTGGCGGGAAGGGAGAATATGATGGCAGAAATCAATGAGAATGGACCTATAAGGTAATATTTGATTACTAACTTTATTGATGGTTTTATCTTGGCCTGATGTGTTGCAAACCCAAATCCCACATCAGGTTTAAAGTTCAAATAATTTTGATACATTTTGGAAACAGTCTTTACTAATAGCTGAAATTTGTTTATGAAATCTATGAAACATTTATGGCACATTAAGCCTGTGACATACTCCCTTTAGCTAGTCTCTGGTGAGTGAAAATGGAAAACAAATATGTCAAGTTTTAGAAATATTATAGGGAATGGAAACAAGTATAAAATCTTGAGGATTATGATCACATGGTAAATTTCTAAGCCTGCGATTTCATAGTAGCCTCTAGACATTGGCAACCTTTAACCTTATGGCCTGCTCAGAGATTGAAAAAACAAAACATGTTGTAAACAATCTTGTTATGAACAATTAGTGGTTTATAACATTTCCATCGTAAGATACAAGCATAATTTCTTCAAAAGGTTTTGCAGACTGTTAAACATACATGTAGCTTTCACATTTTGATAAAATAGTACAAAAATGAGAGGTCTTGCCTTTTTCAGTTGAAATTGAAATTTGCTGAAAGATTAGTGCCCACTGCATATGTGTTTTCTTGTTTGCATTTTAATTTTTCAGAATAGGACACATGGATTTGCTCACAGAAAGGCATTTTTTAACTGCTTGTGATATACTTTGACATGGAAGTTGTTTGTTGTTCTCTATTATAGTTGTGGCATAATGGCCACTGCAGGCTTAGATGCTTACAGAGGTGGAATCTACAAGGAGAAGAATGCAGACCCCATTGTGAGTATAAAACAGGATTTATTCTGATGGTTATGAGTGTTATATGCTTTGTACTGGCCTTTTGAATTATTTTTTTCCGATCAGAATTATCCATTCTTGTTGCAGATATGAGAGAGATCTAGAGTCTAGTCATTGTACTGAAATCTAAGATGTTGTATCATTCCAAGATATGTGACTGTTTGATGCACTGAATATATAGAGTGTATGCAATGATTGTGATCTTTACCAGAAGTGTGAATATCTTAGTATTGTACTGGGTATGTTTACAAGTCCTACAATTACATATTACTTTCAAACAACTATTTCATATACCTGTTATCCTTAAGAAAGTTAATACAGCTAGAAAAGTCAGTTTTTTTCCATAAATATTGAAATTAAACATACTTTTTGTGAAGGTAACATGTTTAATGCATATGAATGTTTTGACAGTTTTTGAGTAACTTTCTCTCTTTTGATTCTGATATGTATTTGTGCAATAGGTGAACCACATCATATCTGTAGCAGGATGGGGAGTAGATGAGGACACCAACACAGAATACTGGATTGTGAGAAACTCCTGGGGTGAACCATGGGTATATATATTCTTCTTTTGCCTATCTGTTTAAGCAATTTCATGGAAGAGTTTCTTGGCAGCTATATTAGGTTTCTCTCTCATAACATGGCGATCATGAACCAGGAAGAGGTAACTCATGATTTTCTCCTTAAAGCACCTGTAGGGATTGATGTAGATACGACACCTAGTAAGGATTTTCACTGGATTTCTTTTTAGTTCGCCTGGCCCAAAGGGCCAAGTGAGCTTATGCCATAGCGCGTTGTCCGTCGTCCGTCCGTCCATCCGTCCTGTGTCCAACTTTTCATATAAACAACTTCTTCTGAAATACTGAAAGGCGTAGAGTTATCATATTTGGCTTGAAGGTTCCAATGATGAAGCCCAACAAAGTCTATTCAAGGTCACATAGGTCAAATGTGTTAAAACCTTTAAACGACTTCTACCAAAATACCGGAAGGCCTAGAATCATTATATTTGGTTGGAAGGTTCCAATGATGAAGCCCAACAAAGTTTGCAAAAAGAAATGACCTTGACCCATATACAAGGTCACAGAGGTCAAATGTGTTAAAACATTTAAATGACTTCTTTCAAAATACCAAAAGGCCTAGAATCATTATATTTGGCTGGAAGGTTCCTTTCTTAAAGTCCAACAATATTTGTAAAAAGAAATGACTTTGACCCTTATTCAAAGTCACAGAGGTCAAATGTGGTAAAACATTTAAATGACTTCTTTCAAAATACCAAAAGGCCTAGAATCATTATATTTGGCCAGAAGGTTTCCTTGAAAAAGCCCAATAAAGTCTGCAAAAAAGAAATGACCTTGACCCTTATTCAAGTTCACAGAGGTCAAATATATTAAAACCTTTACACAACTTCCAAAATACCGGAAGGCCTACAATCATTATATTAGGCTACTATGTTCCTCTTATGGTCTAATACAAAGTTTTTATAAAAGAAATTACCTTTACCAATCTTCAAGGTTACAGGAGTCAAATGTGTTAAAACGTTTAAACAATTTCTTATGAAATATAGAAAAGCCTAAAATCATTATATTTGACCAGTATGTTCTTTTTATGAAGTCCAAGAAAGTTTGCAAAAAGAAATGACCTTGACCCTTATTCAAGGTCACAGAGGTCAAATGTGTTAAAACATTTAAATGACTTCTTTCAAAATACCAAAAGGCCTAGAATCATTATATTTGGCTGGAAGGTTCCTTTCTTAAAGTCCAACAATATTTGTAAAAAGAAATGACTTTGACCCTTATTCAAAGTCACAGAGGTCAAATGTGGTAAAACATTTAAATGACTTCTTTCAAAATACCAAAAGGCCTAGAATCATTATATTTGGCCAGAAGGTTTCCTTGAAAAAGCCCAATAAAGTCTGCAAAAAAGAAATGACCTTGACCCTTATTCAAGTTCACAGAGGTCAAATATATTAAAACCTTTAAACAACTTCCAAAATACCGGAAGGCCTACAATCATTATATTAGGCTACTATGTTCCTCTTATGGTCTAATACAAAGTTTTTATAAAAGAAATTACCTTTACCAATCTTCAAGGTTACAGGAGTCAAATGTGTTAAAAACGTTTAAACAATTTCTTATGAAATATAGAAAAGCCTAAAATCATTATATTTGACCAGTATGTTCTTTTTATGAAGTCCAAGAAAGTTTGCAAAAAGAAATGACCTTGCCCCATAGTCAAGGTCACAGGGGTCAAATGTGTTAAACCTTTAAATTACATTTCCTGATGATACAAGACATCTGGGATAGTGATATTATTCCATAATAGGTTCTCAATGATGCCCGGTATTATTTGAGAACAGAAATGACCTTGACCCATATTCAAGGTCACAACAGTCAGATGTGTTAAACCTTTGAACAACTTCTGATTAAGCTAAAGGCTTAGGATCATAATATTTGTCCAAAAGGTTCCCTTAATGGTGCACACATAGTGTGTGAAAAAATAGCTTGACCCATAATGATAATTAAGGTCATTGGGGTTAGATTTGGTAAAATAGTTAATCAACTTCTTCTGATTAACCAAAACCCCATCGTATTTGGCCATTAAAGGCTTATATACAAATGACTTATTTTGGACTACTAAGGGACAGAACCCATTTGGAGTAATTTGTCATATTGCTTTAAGCATCTACTGTGGAACATATGCACAGATATTGTACAGTTGGTCATAAAAATCCAAGTGAGCAATACAGGCCCTCTGGACCTCTTGTTCAATTTTCTGGATATAGCTTTATGTATCTTGTTTTTTACAATCTTTGAGATCAAAGATAGTAGACACTCCTGGAGGACTTAAGGTTTGTTGTGACCTTCACGGCCCATTTTAATTCATTCGAGTAGTGGCATGGTTCAGAATTTACACATACTTGACATCCTTTTGAAATTATGACAAACCAACTTTATGATGTAGTTTAATTCCTTATTTGGTGCTGAAATTTTATCAAAACCTGCTAATTACTTGTATGTCTTCTTTACTATCTTAGTGGCAAACTCAGGCAATCAAAATACAAAAGTTTTATGAATATAGAAATATTTTTAGGATTTTAAAAGCCCTGTTGTATCTTAATGAACTTTATATGCTGGTGATGAAAAATATTTGAATTCACTGTCATTATGATTTACTTTCGTTTTTTTTGTTATGCAGGGTGAACATGGCTGGTTTCGTATTGTCACCAGCAAGTACATGGATGGAAAGGGTAATGAATACAACCTGGCTATAGAATCCCGCTGTACTTATGCTGATGTCATTGTTCCAGAAAACTTCTAGTGGGGACCATGGAAACAAAACATCAAAAGAGAAACCTATTATTTACCAGAATGCATATCCTTATTCCTTTTTAGAATGATGAAAGAATAAAAAGTCTTCAATCATTTTGAATATTTTAGATATAATCTGTATAAATGAAATCATCTTTGGTTTCAGTGTTCATTCTCATATCTTAGCATAATTGATTTAACATAATTCAGATTAGACAATTTCATTTACAAAGTCAATGAGATATTCTGTGTACGTTTTTACTTATTTTAATCAATTATTTCTGATTTACTGCTATAATAAATTATGATCCCTGTGAAATCCTTTTATGGGGATATTAATTTGGGCTCCGTCTGTCTGTACATCTGTGCATGCATCCGTCTGTTTGAAGGCTTTTCAAGGCAATAATTTGAAATAGATATTTTTTTCTGTTACCACTGAAACAGTCAAAAACACAAAATTAGTGTTAACTTTCCTTTCAGGCCTACAACTTTGAAACTAATCCACTCAACTCCACAAAACTTTCTGTATATACAAGGTTAGTGCCCTAGTTGTGTTTTTTGCTTCCGACGACATTTAGTATTTTAAATATTTTTTCTGTTACCGTGGAAATACAGCCAAAAAACACAAAATCAGTGTTTACTTGCCTTTCCAGGCTACAATGTAAAAACCATTCCACTCAGGTCAACAAAACTTTCTCTATAAACTTTTTTATATATTTTTCCTGTTACCATCAAAATTTTCGATTTCTTGTGACTTTTTATATTACTTAAAGAGCTTATAGAGTGTTGCATAAATTTGTTCATGGACAACGCTAAGCTGTATTCAAATATCAACAGTCAAACATACAGGATCTACATCAAGATATAAACTCTTCCTATAAGGTTGATATATAAGATATATGTATATATATATATAATGTTGAAGTTGAGGAGATGCAAGAAAATTTATTTGATAGTTGACAAAAGAAGATGTTACATTTTGCTTAAGTGCTTTTACTGTATTAGATCTTCAGGTGATAGCAGCAGTACATAATGGAGTGACATCATAAATTTTTATATCAATATATTTACATCATATTTGGGTTTTACACCAACAGCTGGGTACATGGGATTATGCCACCCTTTGCGATTCTTTGATGTTTTTATATACAAATTTATTTTTAGGTCTGAGGTAATGAAGAGATCTGTGATAAAATTATGTTTCAATAGTCATTCCATTGCATTTTCTAAGATTCACAAATATTTTTTGTTGTTCATTTGTGATATTGTCATTGGTTAGCATGAATGCTGTCATTAGTAATTGTTCGTCTGAAGTGATATCCTTTACAAATATCAATTTGAAGGATACTGATTGTACAATGACTTATGAATTTAACAAGTTAACGTTGTGAGATGAGTTTTCTCCCTTTGTTAGTCGAAATCTGGTCTTTGATAGGGGAAAGGTATTATATAAGGGTAATGCAGATAAAACAGACCCAAGTTTTAGATTTGAAAAGTTAGAGATAACTATGAGAACAGTTGAAGGAAGATATATGAAGCAAGGACAAAAATATTGTATGAATTTCAACAGTAATTACTACATTGTGTTTTAATCAATTCATGAATGTGTGTAAGATAATTGAATTTATGACATATACATGTAGTATTGCAAAGTGACCCTATATGCATCAATCAGTATGATATATTGATGATTTTTGATAAGTTGCAAATGAGCTAAGATGTCATTAAAGGTGTGGTTTGTAATTGTGCAATCTTCATTTGACTGACTATAATGCTGTATGAACATGATGTAAAATTATCTATATTTGGTATTTGATTTTTCTAATAGTGTGAGAATGCTTCTATTGGAATAATTGTCATATTTTTATCAGTGATTTTGATATCAAGATATTTAGATCTGTAACAATTTTGGTGCAATACTTAAGGATCTGTTTTAGATTCAAACACTCCAGATAATACAATGTTCTATAGTTACTGCCTAGTATGTCTACAAATCTCAGCAGGATTCCTTTTAAAAGTTTCATTTAATTTCTTCCAGTCAATGCTTATTTCAGATATATATACATATATTATAAAAAAAATGCCGTGTCTAGAGATTTCCAGGCAGACCATTGGCCTTTCTCATTGGTACAATGAACAGCATGGTTGATGTTAGATAGTATACAACATTTACACTCCGACATAGCAAGGCCCTTAATCTATCGTTGTTCCAGTAGATTTAATTTGTATGTGACAGCTAACTCAAACTCTTATTATGTCTGTTATTCTCGGCCCCCTATTTGTTGTCTGGCTGATGACTTATACAGATAGAATGAAACAAAGGGAAGTAACCCTGGAAGACCAGGATGGCTGTATGCATCATACTTTCATTCCAAAATAAATACTCTGTTGAAAAACTTTACAATGACTGTCTCTACTTAAAACTCAACATGTCTTGTTTGATGTTTACTATTTATGCTCTAATCTTTTTGCTTACTTGTCCTCAGTTTAAACATAACGTATTTTATTAACATGCATCGAAACATTGAATTGTCAGTTGATATATATATATATATATATATAGACCCTAAAAAATGTCCAGGTATTATAATGATTATTATTATAATTAAATGTTGGTGGCAATACAAAATAAACTAATGCTTTTTTTACATTTCTGTTTTGTCATTTGTACGACACTACAAGCATAACGATTTAGTTAGGTACCCTTTCCAATGAAATAAAGGAATTGCTAGTGTAGTGTACATATATTCACAGATAACCAACTTATAGTTTAGCTTTTTAGTAGCCCATTACCTGGCGCGCTGCGACATCGCCTTTCGTTTGTGGTCCGTTTTCCATCATCAGTCCATCTTGCTTGTAATGTTTGTCAAGAAGTACTGGACGGATCATTTTCAAATTTCAACTATAGGTTTTGTCACGGTCCCTATTTGTGCTTTATCCCATTTCCCGACTGGCAGCCATCTGTGATTTTGTGTTGTCTCATTTTGTGACTTATTCGAAAAACGGAACGGTCGAAAGATGGCCATCATAGATGTTGACGCTCATACTACGTATTAGGTACTGTAGGTTCTCATTGGTCCCTGGTTGTGCACCGTCTCATTTTAAGACCGAGATTGTGAATGTATCGTAGTTTGTTGTCGCTACTTTACGAGAAGTGCTGAATGGATTATGCTCAGACACCATAATTAGGATCCCTTTAGTCCCTAGTTGATCTGAGTATGATTTAGCCTTGATCTAAGCGGTATGGCCAACAGGCGGCTATATTAGAGTTTTTCAGTATGGCCAACAGGCGACTATATTAGAGTTTTTCAGTATGGCCAACAGGCGACTATATTAGAGTTTTTTCAGTATGGCCAACAGGCGACTATATTAGAGTTTTTCAGTATGGCCAACAGGCGACTATATTAGAGTTTTTTCAGTATGGCCAACAGGCGACTATATTAGAGTTTTTCAGTATGGCCAATAGGCGACTATATTAGAGTTTTTCAGTATGGCCAACAGGCGACTATATTAGAGTTTTTTCAGTATGGCCAACAGGCGGCTATATTAGAGTTTTTTCAGTATGGCCAACAGGCGGCTATATTAGAGTTTTTCAGTATGGCCAACTGGCGGCTATATTAGAGTTTTTTTCAGTATGGCCAACAGGCGACTATATTAGAGTTTTTCAGTATGGCCAACAGGCGGCTATATTAGAGTTTTTCAATATGGCCAACAGGCGGCTATATTAGAGTTTTTCAGTATGGCCAACAGGCGGCTATATTAGAGTTTTTCAGTATGGCCTATATTAGAGTTTTTCAGTATGGCCAACAGGCGGCTATATTAGAGTTTTTCAGTATGGCCAACAGGCGGCTATATTAGAGTTTTTCAGTATGGCCAACAGGCGACTATATTAGAGTTTTTCAGTATGGCCAACAGGCGACTATATTAGAGTTTTTCAGTATGGCCAACAGGCGACTATATTAGAGTTTTTCAGTATGGCCAACAGGCGACTATATTAGAGTTTTTATATGGCCAACAGGACTATATTAGAGTTTTTCAGTATGGCCAACAGGCGACTATATTAGAGTTTTTCAGTATGGCCAACAGGCTATATTAGAGTTTTTAGTATGGCCAATAGGAGCTATATTAGAGTTTTTCAGTATGGCCAATAGGCGGCTATATTAGAGTTTTTCAGTATGGCCAATAGGCGACTATATTAGAGTTTTTCAGTATGGCCAATAGGCGACTATATTAGAGTTTTTCAGTATGGCCAACAGGCGGCTATATTAGAGTTTTTCAGTATGGCCAACAGGCGACTATATTAGAGTTTTTCAGTATGGCCAACAGGCGGCTATATTAGAGTTTTTCAGTATGGCCAACAGGCGGCTATATTAGAGTTTTTCAGTATGGCCAACAGGCGACTATATTAGAGTTTTTCAGTATGGCCAACAGGCGGCTATATTAGAGTTTTTCAGTATGGCCAACAGGCGGCTATATTAGAGTTTTTCAGTATGGCCAACAGGCGACTATATTAGAGTTTTTCAGTATGGCCAACAGGCGACTATATTAGAGTTTTTCAGTATGGCCAACAGGCGACTATATTAGAGTTTTTCAGTATGGCCAACAGGCGACTATATTAGAGTTTTAATCAAATCACTCTGCAAGCGAAGTTAAATCATTGTGTAACTAATCACGCTGACAGATAAACCATTGTGTAACTAATCACTCTGACAGATAAACCATTGTGTAACAAATCACTCTGACAGATAAACCATTGTGTAACAAATCACTCTGACAGATAAACAATTGTGTAACAAATCACTCTGACAGATAAACCATTGTGTAACTAATCACTCTGAAAGATAAATCATTGTGTAACAAATCACTCTGAAAGATAAACCATGATGTAACAAATCACGCTGAAAGATAAACAATTGTGTAACAAATCACCCTGACAGATAAACCATTGTGTAACTAATCACGCTGACAGATAAACCATTGTGTAACAAATCACTCTGAAAGATAAACCATGATGTAACAAATCACGCTGAAAGATAAACCATTGTGTAACAAATCACTCTGACAGATAAACCATTGTGTAACAAATCTTACTGAAAGATAAACCATGATGTAACAAATCACGCTGAAAGATAAACCTTTGTGTAACTAATCACTCTGACAGATAAACCATTGTGTAACTAATCACGCTGACAGATAAACCATTGTGTAACTAATCACTCTGAAAGCGACGTTAAACCATTGTTTTTTGTGCCTGGGACTATTCTTCCTTAGTTATGCAGTCCCTTTACACTACAAATGTCCCCGAAATAATTAATCAAGTCAAATTAAAGTTTATCTGACACACTGTCCAAATCGTGACAAAATGTCACATACTTAAGGATGTCACTGATAGGAAGGGACAGGCAGAAGTAAGAATGGGGAAGTTTCAGGCACAAACTGCTGTGAATGAGGAAGTTTTTCCACAATAAATGAATAAAATTCAGTAAATTTAGTAAAAGGGCAGAAACGGATATTCTTGACAAAACTACAATGCGTGTGCATAATATTCGATCACATTCATGTAAAATAGACTTAGCAAACGAGTTAAAAGCCAATGCCGGAGTTCTGAAAATCAGAAACCAAAAAAACACTCATTAACAGAGCTTAATTAGCGTTTTCAAGCGATGTTATAAAAGTTATATCACACCTGGCTGTTACTTCGGGACAGAGATCATATCTAGTTACTTACATAACTTAACATTAACATTAAAGCAATTTCCGTTCAAAAGCTCGACATTCTTTCGCAAATAATATCAAAATTCCTGTGCTGCATCCACACTTGATATGATCGTTTGACTTTTCATGTCCACAAGGAAGAAGCGAAAGTTATTTACATATGATTCACACCGTTAAATAAATGCTGTATGTTTAACATTACCAATTAAGTAATCTTCCTCGAACTCGGCATTAAAATCACCATTCTAGGTTTATTTCATATTATTGAGATTATGTCACCACAGAAATTAAAGGGCAGGTAACTGTGTCCATTTATCTTTTGCTGAATATATGTTGTAGACAAAATCAAATTCTGACGCGGTGGCTTGACGTGAAGACTTAGTTTAACACCTAATGCGATTTTCAGCAACTCACGCCAGCCTGTGATAACATATGTAGGATCACTAAATACTTTGTTTTGAAAGAATGAAAACAAGAAACAGAAAAACCAAAACAAAATAAAAAAAAGTTGCCGTTATTACTTAATTCTGTTCAAAAAGATTTACATTTAGAGGAATGATTATGAAGTAAAACATATGAGGATGCCGAAATATCGACAAAATGTCGGCTAACTAGTGTGAAAATCAGAATAAAATAAATATAGAACAATTGAACGTTACAATGATAGCATTGAGATTTTAGATAGTGTCAGCACTAAAGAAATGCATAAAAGTATAAGCAAATTGGACTTTACTTGTTACGATCTATATATACCGTCAAAAATGTTTTCTCTTTATTTGAAAGCTGTAAAAGATAAATAGGTCGAGCTTTCTTAGCATGTAGACAGCCGTGTATCTTCCTGGTTGGTATCTAGGTTGCACGTGTTTATACATGTGTATGTAATGCATACCTTTATGCTATGATTGGTCACTGAGGCGTAAATGTTAGTATTAGACTGTTGATATCGTTGTTTGAGCTAGGATATTTCAGCAATGAAAACACATGAAGATGTTAAAAAAATAAGGTACGTAAGTACATTTTGTGACGACGCACTATAAATGTTAAATGGTAACAAGACCTGATAATGATCTGGAAACATGTGGTTCATTTGTTAAAAGATAACTCTGTCGACTGGAGTCAAAACTAGGCTTACTCCTCGCTAACAATTCGTCACCAACAAATAACAATTGTCATTATGTCAAACGACCGATTTTAATCACATTTTGACACAAAAGAGGCACGTGCTTCATTATCGATACACGTGTTTATTAGCATGAAATTATTGAATGTACCAACGTATCAGTTTAAATGTTAGTAAAACAATTGTTTCATTTGTATTTGTATTTGCCTTCAGTAAAAAAGTGTTCCTTTTGATCTATTGGTAAATAACCCAATATATAAATAAAACAAAGTACAATCAAGTCAACATGACCATCATTCGCATTTAAATTCGATGAAGCTCAAGCAAAATAAAAAAAAAAGTTTTACACAAAGACCCTTGAAAAAGTAAAAGGAGAATAAGAGCAAACGTTCCGGAAGGTACCCGTCTTGACATGTGTGAAATTGGTCAACCAAGTTAGTACAATATAATATCACGTTCCTAAATACTTACTTAGTAAACAACAATAGGCACATTAACGAGCATCGAACACGTAAGACTGAATATCGCGTTAGGAAATAGAAACATTTTCCAACTTGATTACTGTATAATTACGACCATATATTCTCTATAATCCTTACCAAATTGCATCTTCTGAAACCCTGTGTTGTGGGTTTATCTGTCTGATGTCGACATTTTGCACATGGAAGTCGTGATATTGAGAACAAACTCTGGATAATTGAATCGACTCTGACATATACGCACCATAAGTCGGGGAAGCAAGGATGTTGCGATCTAGAAATGGAAAATTCGATATCATCAAGTTTGCCATAGAGTATGGTGGAAAACTGTCCG